ACACCACCTGAAAGCGATGGTCAGCCAATCAGCAGAGTCAAAAATTGGGTCAAAGCCTCCCCAGCACTTGGGCCCCCATGGTGTTCATTTGTCAGAACATCAGTCTGCTTAGTGCTTATGCAGAGAGACATATTATTATACAACCAACTGCCCAGTCATTTGCCCAGCATCATTTTTTTTTTTGTGGAATCAATTACTGATGTTGATTTGTACCACAAACTATGGAAACAAAATTTCTGAAGACTGACTCTGCTTGAGCCTGTCTTCTCACTGTGGAGGGCACCATTGTTGTCTTAGTCACCGAGGCTGGCACCTTCAGCACCTTTTTTTTTTTTTGGCTAAGCAATGGTGTTAAATGACTTGCCCAGAGTCACACAGCTAGTAAGTGTTATGTGTCTGAGGCCTGATTTGAACTCAGGTCCTCCTGACTCTGGGACTGGTGCTCTATCCACTGTGCCACCTACCTGCCCCTCAGCACCATTTTGACTCTTCATCTGCACTCAGCCCACATAGCTAGTCTTTTGCCAACTCTTGTCATTTCTATCTCGTACATGTCCCCTTTTCTCTGTTCACACAACCAATTGATGAGTGCAAGCTCTCATCACCTCATATCTGGACTATTGCAACAACTTCCTGGCCAGTGTCTCTGCAACAAACCTCTCCCCATTTTAATTCATTCTGCACTCAGCTGCTAAAGTAACGTTCTTAAAGCACAGGTCTGACCATGGCACTCCCCAACTCAATATGAGCCATTCCTGTAGCTCTCTATTGCCTTCAGAATCAAATATAAAATCCTCTGGCTTTAAACCCTTCCAACCTATGATCCAGCAACATTGACTTTCTTGTTATTTCTTGAACAGGATGCTCCATATCTGGACTTCAGACCTTTTCACTGGCTGTCTCCCATGCCTGGAATGCTCTTCCTCCTTGTTTCCACCTTCTGATGTCCTTAGCGCAAATCCTACTTCCTTTAGAAGGTCTTTCCTGGTACCCCTCATTGTTAGTAACTTCCCTCTATGTTTACTTTTTTTTTTTTTTGGTGAGACAATCAGGGTAAGTGACTTGCCCAGGGTCACACAGTTAGGGTGTTTACTTTCCTTTTACCATGCATATATCTTGCATGTACATAATTGTTGGCATATTGTTTCTCCTATTATATATATATAATATTTATACATATAAGGGAAGGCAAATTTATGGTCCCAACCTCTCAAGGAATTTATAATAGGAGAAATAGGAGGATATATTATATATTGCATATATAATATACTATACTATATATATAAATATTATATATAGTACAGTATATTATACATACTGCATATATAACATACTATACTATATATAAATATTATATACAGTATAGCATATTATATATATACTATACTATATACAATTCCTTGAGAGGTTGGGACCATAAATTTGCCTTCCCTTATATCCTTATTTAGTACCTTAGTCCATTCCTGGAACATAGTAAGCACCTAATAAATGTTGACTAACTACTGATTGCCTATTAGGATATTCCATTCTTATGATTATATAGCTCTTAGATCTCAGGGCATCACCAAGCCAAGTCATGTTAATTCTAATTATCCCCAGGATGGTTCAGTCCAGTAGATGAGAGTGACCAGAGTTACTATCTCATTCACTTGTGCTCCTCCACACGGCCATGAAAGAAAGAAGCATGGTGGCATGTGCCTGTAATCCCTGCTACTGGGGAGGCTGAGGCTGGTGGACCACTTGGGTACTGGGATCCTGAGCTGCACTAAGCCCAGAGCTAATATGGTGAGCTTTCAGGATTGAGAAAGTGCCAAGCTGCCTGAGGAGGGTGGATCATAGTGGGTTAGAAACAGAGCAGGTCAAAGCAGGGAAAATGATAAATTGGGATCAGGCCAGTAAGTGGCTGTCATATCTCCAGCCTAAGTGAGATGGGGAAATCTGGTCTCAAAATAAAACCAAACCAAACCAAAGATGACTCGTGGGCCTGTAAAAAACGTCTTTTCAATTCTTTTGAATTGGAATAATCAATGTTTGAGATGGCTGAGCCCTATGAGATCATTGACCTCCTTGTTTTATAGAAGAGGAAACTGGGTCTTCAAGTGATAAAATGACTTGGTCTAGGTCACCCAATTATCAGCGGCAGAGTTGACGTTTCAGACACAGGTGGTTGCGTTCAAACATAGGGACTCCAAATCCTGGGTTCTTCCCATTACATCATAGCTACCAGTAAGCATCTCCCGTTTGGGCACTAGCAGTGCCTTCATGTCCTGGGCAGTTTGCCCAGTTCTCGAGATCCCTAAGAACAAAAAACTTATCTGCGGCGATAGCTTAAATGCTCTCTCCTTCTCTCCTTTCCCTTCAACCTTCTCCCTCCCCTTTTAATTAAATCCATTAGTCTTGGGACACTAAGTCTTAAAGATTCTAGTGCCCTTGATCATTAACCCATTGCCATCAGACGTGGTTGTTGGGTAGCACCCACTGTAAGGACACTAGTCTTCTCCATTTTCCAGTAATACCTTCCCCACCCTCCCCATCCCCCGCTGGGTGCTGTGATTTAATCAGTGTAGGAAAATCCCAGTGTGGAAACTCCCTCCATCAATGCTGATCAGCAACTCATTTTAAATTCTTAAAGAGTCGCCCAGGGCACCATGCTGTTAAATGATTTCCCCATTGTCATAGAGCTGGTATGTCAGTAACAAGACTTGAACTCAGACTTTCCTGACTTTGACTCTAGTTGCTGTATGACCCTGCTGCCTCATAGCTGTACTAACAGCTCACATTTCTGTGGCATTTCCAGTCTTACAAAAACCACTTTCCTTACCCCAGGCCTGAGACATTGGCAGGCCACGTAGTACAATCACAGATCTAGAACTGGAAGGGTCCTTAAAGCTCACTAAGTCCAACCTCCTCATTTTACAAAGGAGGAAACTGAGGCCCAGAGAGTTTAAGGAATTTGCTCAAGATCATGTGGTTGATAAATGACCAAACTGGGATTTGAACCCATGATCTCTCACTCCAAATCCAATATTCTTTTCACTATACTACTCTGCCTCCATTATTAATCCCATTTTAGTGACGTAGAAACTGAGGTTCAGAGAAGTCTGAGCTCTTTCTACTACAGCATTCTGCTTCTCAGTATAGCTCAGACTGGAAATGGCAGTATCTATCCATGAAGCACAGAGGAAGAGTCTTAACAATTAAGGATCCTACATAAATTGCTGAGATGTGGAGTGATTATAAAAGTTGCTAAACTTCCCAATTCAGCGTGTTTCTCAAAAGCCAGGGGTCCAATAAAACCGCTACATAGTGAGCTTTGGGGTAGGTGGATAGAGCACCTTGTCTGGAGTCAGGAAGGCCTGAGTTCAAATTCATCCTCAGACCCTTACTAGCTGTGTGACCCTGGGCAAGTCAGTTAACTCTGTTTGCCTCAGTTTCCTCATCTGTCAAGTGCGCTGGAGAAGGAAATGGCAAACCACTCCAGTATCTTTGCCAAGAAAACCCCAAATAGAGTCACAAAGAGTTGGGTATGACTGAAATTACTTAACAACAACAATAAATTACTGAACTTTGAGCTCTAATTTTTCAAAATCAGGTCTTTTAAGGGGGAAATTTGAATTTGTTTGTCATTCAGTCACAGATTTAGAGTTGGAAGGGACCTGGAGGTGGTTTAAATCTAACCTTTATTTTATAGAGGAGGAAAAGTAGGCCTGGAGACATTATGTGATTTGCCCCAGGTCACAAAGCTCAGAGGTAGCAGACCAGGATGTGGACCCAGGACCACTGATGCCCAATCCAATATCCTTTCCTCTAGACTATGCTGGTTCCCAAATGCAGACACTGATGGGAATAACAGAGATGTGATACTAAGAACAGTTTTCTCTCCCCCTTCCCTCCCCAATCTCTTAAAAATCTTCTCTTCTATAGAAATGAGTGTCTCCTTTACTCAACCATCCAAAGAATTCAATTGGAAATGTTTGCCTATCAGGGGAATGATGACCTTGCCCAAATTTAATTCTTCTTCTTAAGCAACATCTTCCAGCAGCAGATTGTACACGATGGCCCAGTCTCATGGCAATGAAAGGACGTGAGGATGGGAGATGGTGGCACTTTTCTGAAGACTAAGAACTCTGTTCACCTCCCTTGACAGAATGTCCATGGAGGATGATGTACAGTAAGGAGCTCTAGACTGGGAGAAGGAAAACCTCTGTAATCCATATTTATAGCACTACCACTAACAAGTTGTGCCACCTTCAGCAAGTTACATTTCTCTGATTTAGTTTTCACATCTGCAAAAATAGAATAACATTGTCCTGTCTGTCTCACATGGTTGTTGGTGGGATCAGAGGAAATGATGGGCAGGAAAGCATTCTGGAGACTGTAAAGCATCATGGGAGATAAAACATGATTGTTAACATTTCGGGGCAGGATGCTGAGGGTTGCCACATTCTGGCTCTACCAATGGAATCCCCAATGCTCAATCAATCAGCATAGGTGCAAAGACTATGCACATGAGTATTGGAAGGTGCTTTGGAAAATGCTTTAGAAGCCTCACTGAGAAGGGAGAGAAGTGACTCTCCATATTGTGTGTGTGTGTGTGCACACATGTGTGTGTGCATGTGTGTGCATGTGTATGTGTGTGTGTGTGTGTAACAGAAAGAATGTCAGACTTGTAGTTTTGAGACCTGGAATAGAATCTGTGCCCTGAGAGCATATGGATAAATCACTTCAATTCTTTAAAACTCAGTTTCCACCTGTGTAAAATGAAGATGATCTCACATGAGCAATTTACTTAACATCTCTGAGTTTCATTTTCCTCATCTATGATGCTGGGGATAATGACAAGAGTAGAGCTGATCTCACAGGACTGTTGGAAGGAAGATGCTTTATAAAACACGTTGCTACAGAAATGAAAATTATTGTGATTACGATGCGCGCTCTGCCTCATGGCTGCCTAGGAAGAACGAATAGAGAATGAATGGAAAAGGTGACTAGATACTAACCTGTCTGACGCATCAGGAAGAGGTAAGACCATCCGATGCCAAATGCCCAAACCTTCACTGTTGGCGAAGTACCAGATGGTCCGGCTTTGCTCCTTCCCAGTTTTGTTCTCCATCAGCATCAGGGTAATGTTTCCTTCCAAGACTCCATGGATGAGCCATGAGAATTGGAGCTACAAGGAACAAAAGATCCAGAGGGAAAAATGGTTATCGCTTTAAGAAACACTAAATTGACGACTGATAACCGAAACCTGAAGAATTTCTCTCAAAGATTTTCAATAGAATTTAAGATCCTTGAGGGCAGAGACTATTTCATTTTTGCCTTTATATCTCTGGTACCCAGAATGGTGCCTTGCACATAGTAGGTGCTTAATAAATGCTCATTGAATCAGACTGGATTGGATGCTCATCAATTTAGACTAAGCAGGTGAGGAGTGAGAGCCACGTTACCTTAGATCACAGAATCAAAGGATATCAGAGCTGGAAGACATTTTAAATTCAGTTCAGCAGTCACTCATTAAGAACTTACTATGTTCCAGGACCTGAGCTAGGCACCAAGGATACACAAAGGAAGCAGTTCTCTACAGAGGTGTCAAACAAGTGGCCTACCATACTCACAAGTGATACAGGAACTAGATTAAAATGTAATCGGGAAATATTTAACAAAATAAATAAAATTCAATAAAATATGTATAATCTCACATTTTAAAACTAAATCAACATGCAGCCCACTTAAGGGATCCTGAATCCCTTAAGTGATAAGTAAGCCCCATTTCTATTTGACTTTGTCACCACCGCTGTACATGTCCCTTTAAGGGATGCTAATACGGGTATAACCTGTAAGACTTTTCACTCCAGCTTCCTACAACACCGCTCAACTGAAACTGCTCTCTCCAAAATCACCAGGGATCTCTTAATTGCCAAATCCAAGGTCATTGAGTTCAATAGTTCTCAAAGGACGGACTGAAGCACACTAGCTATGCCTTGAATTGTCCAGAATTTACATTTGCTTCTGTGAGTCCCCCACCTCTCCTGCAGGGAGGGAGGGACAAGAAACTTGGGGCTGAATTTTGCTTTGGTATTTACTAGATATGTCATGTGCCCTATTGCTTTGTCTTCCAGAGTTCTACTGGCACCGTTCCCTCAACCCTTTTCCCCTACTCTAGGAACTCCTGGGCTTTTCATCTGTCCTGCAGTTGAACCACATGTATTCTTTCTCCTAATTAGGATGAAAACTGCTTGTGAGCAGGGATTGTTTCATTTATACATAAATGGGTATTTATACATACATACATACATAATTATGAATAAATATGAAGACCACAGTCTAGACAGTAATTGCTATAGAGCTTCAGAATATAGAGAAGAAACTGAAACCCAGAGATATTAAATAACATTAGTCTTGCCCTCAAGGAGCTTACATTATTTTAGGGGCAGTAGTATGTACACATATAAGTATATACAAACATATATATATATATATACACACATACACATACGTATATGTATATCTAAAACACATACATATATACAAGCAAGGTGTTGGGTTGGGAAAAGTACTACTGTATCACTTTTTCAATAAACTCTAATAAGTCTCTATTACTTTTAGGATCAAATATGATCACATAAGCAACAAGAGGCAGACTAGATGTTTTTTCCTATTCCCATGACTTTCCAAATCTCCTCAAAGCAGAAATTATGCTCCAAAGATAAAGGAACGTCAGCTGTTTCTATGGTCTAAGACATCTAGAATCCAAAAGAAGGTTAAAAAAAGGGCAAAACAAAAATCCAGAGACTGATGCTTATTGACCCTGAGTTCACTCAATACCCTTCCTTTCCCTCCCAGGCTACCAGTGGCAAGCCTTGCACTAGTGAATCCAAGGACATGACATAGCCTTATATCAATACCCACTCCTAAACTCCAGTCTCCCTTCCCTCTTTCTAGTGTCAGGAAGACCCCAGCTCCAGGTTGCAGAAGTTTGCTTGGGTCTCAATAACCAGCTTAGGAGCAAAAGCCTCTCAGGGCAGAAACCTGCAAAGTGCTAAACTGCTGGTGCCAGGCCAGAGAACTGAGGAACAGAGGGAGTGGGACAGGTCACCAGGACAGGGCACTGTGTATGTGGTGGGGTTGTGCTGCACTCCACCAAGCCTAAGGGAAAGAGCTTGGTCCAGTTCTGACCACTCAAAAGTCAGTTGGGTCAGAAATCTAGGCTGGTGAACCATAAATTGCCTAGTGTGGGAGGAAACTGAGATGCTTTGAGATCCAGCCTCTAATGAAACCACAATCAGAAGGGAGAGAGTCAGAAAGCGAGTGATAAGGAAAATAAGGGTAGGGGGAGAAAGGAGTGAAGACCTTGAATAAAAAGAGATAAATCAACAGGAAAATAACAACAGAAGGATATGTGGCCTCTAGATCTAGCAAACAAGTTCAGGAATCTATGAATAAATACTATGAAATAAAGGAAAATGATCCAACACTTGATGAAATAGAGGCCCCTGGGGAAATCTGAGAACATGGAACTATAACACGCTGTTCCTGAGTAGTTTAAAAGAGAAATGAGAATTTTGAGAGCAGAATTTATGTCCCGCACATCAAAAATAATGAACAGAATTGAAAAATTAAATTTGCGATAGCAAGCCTCACCAAAGAGACAGAAGAGAGAACAATAGATTGAGAATGCAAATACATAGAACTAAAGGACAACCTAGAGGAAGAGAAGCAAAAACCAAGAACACTAAAAGAAAATATTCAAGCAAAACATACAGATCTTGAAGACAGGATATACAAAGAACCAAATACAAACTCTTGTTTGGCATTTAAAGACTTTCATAACCTGGTTCCAACCTACCTGTTTGTCATATATTACTCTATCGGTTCCCGTATACTATATATATATATATATACACACACACACACATATATATACATATATATATTTATATAGCATATAATCCTTATACTCACAGCTGCCTTGTTATATGTTTATCTGTCTATCTCTATCTCTGTCTTTATATGTAGTACTGTCTTGGTCAGGTCTCCAGCAGGTGTCTCCAAGAGATGCAAGAAATGCATGTAAGTTAGAGAAGAGAAGAGTTTTTTCAGCATCTTCTCCTCAATTCTCACCCCTCTCCTCAACCTCAGAGAGTTTTGCTCTGGCCTTGAGGCTTAAAGGACTTGTGAGACTAAAAAAAAGAAGAAAGAATGATGTGACAGAGGAGAGATATCACTATTGCAAGAAAATTGGCGATATGGGACCCTGTAAAACCTAGAGGGTGGAAGGTGTTCCAAAAGCTTCTTGCTGGATAGGTTTAGAAGTCTGCTGAGGGGAAGAGACATTTTGTATAGGACTGGGACACTTACTGGTGATGATATAACTTGAGAGTATCTGGTGCCTATTGGTAAGACTGATGGAAAGTTTCTCTGGCATGTTCTTATAGAGAGCAACTCCCCAGCCTCACTTCTCTGCCCTAACTGCTGTCTGTAATCACATGTCTACACAGAGGTAGATAAGAGGGCATGGCTAGTCATAGACTTTTCTTCCTCTGGTGGTTGGTTTATGGTACTTTAGGGAATTGCATAAAAAAGAGCTTTCTTGCATTTTGTCTAAATGCACACAGGAGATTTGATATGGAGAGAGAAATACCAGAAGGGAGGAAGTCTAGAGTATTTGAGTTTATTTCCATAAATTCAAGTTAATGCTGCTAGAGTGAGATTTATGCCTGGGGTTCGAGCAGTCAAGCATTAAGAGAGTTAATAGTTTGTTTGAGGGAGAAAGAATAATCTTTAAGAGCAGATAGATACTTACAGTATATTTGAGCTGAGTAACCACAGTGGTGGGTAAATAGGAAGGCAGCAGAGGTAATTTCTTCGCTTTGCCTTGAAAGCCTATTCTATGCTTAAAAGGGGAAGCCACATTTCATCCTCTAAAGGTGAGTCCTACCTACAAGTAAGGATGAGGTGTGAATTATCATGAGTATACCCAGCGGATCCTTTGTTCAGTCGTTTTTTTTTCAGTCATGTCTGACTCTTCATGACCCCATTTTGGGCTTTTCTCGGCAAAGATACTGGAGTGGTTTGCATTTCCTTCTCCAATTCATTTTTACAGAAGAGGAAACTGAGGCAAACAAGGTTAAGTGACTTGCCCAGAGCCACACAGCTAGTAGGTGTCTGAGGCCAGATTTGAAGTAGGTCTTTAGCTTAGTGGAAGACGGATCAGCTTGCTGTTCTCATTATTGCCATCTGGTGGTGTCTCTGTCTCTGTTCTTGTCTATCTCCTCTCTTCTCCCTCTTTTCTACATACTTTCTCTTTATTTATTTCATTCTTCAAGGCCTCAGCTTAAGTGCCACCTACTCCATGCAGCCTTCTCTGATCATGTCTATTAGAAATGTTATCTCTCTCTTTGGAAGTCCTTCAGCAGTTATTGTCCAAGCTATCCACATGACACTGATTATATACTTCCTTGTAATGTAGTTATTTGTGGGCATCTTACCTTCTTAGAGAGCAAGGGCTATATGCAATTTTTCTTCATACTCCTTGAATCCTTACAAATAGTAAGACTCAACAAATGTTTCTCAACTGAGCAAGTGAACATCTAAACAAAACTTCCTTGCTCAGGAGGAGGAGTTGGGCGACAAGCTGGGGAAGGAAAGAAAGGGGGAAGGACAGGAAGACTCAAAATAGCTTTACCAAAAAGAGATAGTGTAGGCTATTGCTGGTTGACCCATCTCGAACTACAAGCAGGGGTCTTTTACCTTAACTAAGTTGGGTAGAATAAATAATCAATTTCACAAGGAAGATGAGAGAGCTCTGGTCGTGTTAAGGTAGTTGCAACCTCAAAGTAAGTCAACATGGCATGCCGAAAAAAAAAAAAAAGCTAATGGTACTCTGGGTTGCTTTAAGAGAAGTCTAATGTCTGGAGCAAGGGAGATGAAAGTCCTGCTGTACTTGACTTTGCTCAGACCACTCTGAGTTCATTTCTGAAAACCACATTTTAGGAATAGCACATACAAGGTAGAGACCCTTTAGAGAAAGGAAGCCAAGATTTTGAGGGAAGGAAAGGCCAAGCCACATGAGCAGCAGTTGAAAGAACTGGTGTTTTTATCCTGGAGAAAAGGACTGATGGTAGTGTGTGAATGAATAAATGAATGAATGAAAAAGCATTTATTAGATGC